TGGCTGAAATAATAGGGTTGGATAAGTGAGTATTGACAACAAGCGAATGATTATTATGCCCCGGTCAATGTTCGGTCGGTCAAGGTGCCTTGGCACGTGGAATGCGTACAATGGACAGATAGCGATCTGAGAGTGTCAAACAAATTCTCAGGCAGTGAAATGCATTGTCCGATTCTAAGCGATACTACTTCCGTAGTACTTATCCACTTAGGACTTAAGCAGCATCGACAATCCCTTTGGTAATGTTCTGAATTGAATCTGACGGGAGATAAATGGAAGTCTAACCCCCGGGCTGATTTTAAATGTATCAGATCCGATATGCAGGTTTATATATATATATATATATATATATATATATAAACCAAAGGGATTCTGTGTAATGTATATATATATATAGGAACGATTATGTAGTGTATTGGGGAGGGTAAAGGCATGGCGACTGAGGCGGCTGAAATTGAACTGTTTCACCTAGGCAAAATCAACATGTTACAGCGTCCACATCCGAATCACTTGAACGCGACACGGGATGTCACTGTGTCCTGTTGTGAAGACCTAGTGCTATTTGACGATAATGCTGAATCGGCCGGAAAATCGTGGGTTCCGATTGTTCCAATCCAACAAGCACCAACACGCGTGTGTTTGATTCCCGGATAGCCTTCCTCGACTAGCTGTTTGCTGAGGCAAGTAGCATTTATTATATGCAATCGCAAAGGTGGCCTTGGTGATCAATCCCCTTGAATATATTCAGGGCGTTGGTCTTATGGCGTGCGTTATGATTCTCGGTGTGGTGATTTGGAACCAATATGATGCCAGAAATGCTCTTAACGTGCCCCGCTTCTTCCGCAATTCCGTGCCAGCACTTTAAGAAGGATCATGTGTGCACACGTACTCTCCCGTCGATTTTATCTCGGACGCTGGACCTCAATGATTCACACTGCATCCCCTGATCATGTGATAAAAAAATCCAACTGGTGATCCAATACATTTACCTTACGTGTTCAGAGCCGATGGACCACATGTGCTTATGGTAGGATTTCTCCCTGAGATTACTGGGTCCCGATTAGTGAATTACACTAAAGTTTCTTCTCCCCAAGTAGAATCAACTCTCTCGCGAAACGTTTCCATGGGATTCATAGCATTGTTTTGAGAGGGTTCAGTCAAAGTTAAGTTCCATAAAACAACTGCAGTGAAGTGAAGTTGGCGATATGTCTGATGGCATTGTGTTGCTGCGACAGCACGGAAAACCACCGATCGAGCGGAATTGCAGCAAGAGACCAGTTCCGATGTACGAGACAGCTTTCGCGCGAAGACGTTTCAGTATTGATTTCCGGTTAACGAACGTACTACCAACCGACACAGAATCACAACCTAAAACTGGGGAAATTAATTCTAGTTTGCGCCTTGGCTGTCATACATTCCGTTTTCAGTGGTGTGGTATGGCCAATTTGAAACTACTGGCGGTAATTTGAAAAATGGGGACGATGAACGGGGGTGACGGAATTCGATGGTTTGCTCACCTCACCCCGTGACCATCAACTGTTCGTATGATGGTAACACTGTTAATTACTTTTTACACCAGCTTCACACCTCGTCAGTTGACATGGAGTCAAAAACTGCATTCCGGTTGTTTGACAGCTTCGCTGTCCTTATTCTGATCTCTACCACGTGTCAGTAGTTGAAGTGTACCTCAACATATCAGAATTGTAGTTCACGAGGAACGATAACAACTCCATTGTTGTCTTGATCATGTTTTTTGGTTGATTTTAACGTTTTGGTTGGATTTGGGAAAGTTTAGTCGCCTCAGTGGGATTCGATCTTTTCACGATTCAAAAGTAACTCGATTATTTTTATGAGAAAATGAGTGGAACAACCACAGCTTGCATCGTTCTAAAACGTGTGGGAATGCATTGCTAATGCAAGCACTAATTTGTTCGCATGCGTGAGCTAAGAGACCCATCAATGGCACTCCCCTGCATTTTTCTGCCTTTCCGCATCTCCGAGTTGTATGTGAAACGAACCCGAATCGCCACTGTCGTTCAGTAGCCGATGCAGACAAACGCCCGAGGGGGCAAATTGCACTCCGGTCGGACCACTACACCCACGCTACCTAGTCGCATCGAGACTACTTGTGCTGTTCAGTTGTCACCTCGTTTAAATTGTTGATGGGGTCAGTTTCACAGTTTGCATGCTGTGAGAACGGTGTGTTTGACTGATCTGTTTGCCCCCTCCCTCTATTTACTCACCCGCAGCGAAACAAGCCACTGACCGAGAAACTGCGACGTCAACGGATCAACCGGGCCTTGGAAGAGTTACGTGACTTGATCGCGGACACGACAACTAAAATGGTAAGTGACCTTGTGTGGTTTTGGGGAATTGGTCACGTGTTATTTTGTCCACGCGGGGTTAAGTAGTTGCTAGGCTGGAGCTGGAGTGCCAATTCGATCATCCACTCCCATGGCCGTCAGTCGAGAACCACGTAGCGAAGACTGCGGACGAGACCTGATCGCTATTCACAACTTGCTTGTATTGGTAGTTTTATCAAGGGCAGAGATAGATTATGACGCTATAGGTTACGGTTTATATTGTGTCCTACATTATATAGGCCAATACACCCTCGAAATAGCAAACTCTGGTAGGTAATAGTGGAAATAGCGACAAGTGTGCCTTTCAAGTACCAATCAGCTATGACAAAATCTCTTTAACGGGGTAAAAAATTCATCAAGCCAATCAACTGCGTTTGGTACAGTGTTATGGTGGCTAAAATTATAGAAGGTATTGTATAACTATTGCATAGCTGAATGAAAACTTCACGGTTTTAAATCCACCGTCATTGAAAAATAATTTTCCGAATATTAATTCAAAAATCTGATGTACAACCTCATTTAAACTGTATGATTTTATGACACTTGTACAGCACGTTTGTCGTGTCCTTACCCCCCCCCCCNCCCATCTTGATACGTGTGCCATCTCAGAGCGATATCGGAAACGAGAAATAGCCCGATATTCTACGTAGATGAACCAATAAAGCAATAAACTACACTCATTCAGGGATTTACACAGTTAATTCAGAAGATTCCTCAAAACTGATTCGTATTATTCTCCACAGAACGGCTTTTATCCCGTAGAATGTATACACAAGCACAATATGTCCTTCATACTGTAAAATTATCGAACAAACTTGAAAGTGATACCTTTGCCTCAGATAGTATTCATTGACTAGAAGAAAAGCGCATGGTTGAAACTGTGCATAATGTGTCGGTTTTGCTGCTTACAAACAATAGGATTGATTAATTAATTAATTAATCACCCTCTCCACGCATACACACAAAAGTTCCACGAGGACCGGAAAGATAGAAGCGAAAAATTGTCAACCCATTGAAAATTAGGACTATAAAAATAACTAATTGGCATATCTATGGTGTTGACCAATGTGAGTTGCTTCGCTGCGATCTCAAATAAATAACCTATTTGTGTGAAACTACTCGTTCTTCAATTGTCAGACGAGCATTCACAGGTGTTTGCAAATCTCTTCTTCACTGCTTTAAATATTGTCATAGTGCCGCAAATAATTCTCATCGACTAGTTTTAACCTAACCAGTATAGCACTTTCCAACCTTCATAACTGATCAGAATATTTCTCCCAGTGAATTCCGGCCAACCAGTACGTTACGACCTGGTTGTGGTAGTCCTATTTTGGTTTCATAAATCCTTAGTTTTTAATGTGGCAACCTGTACGTTGAAATCGCAAAGAATTACCATATCACTCAGTTGATTGTTTAAGCTTTTCCAATCAGGCATCCGATGGTCATATTCAGCTGGAGAATACGTTTGATCGTTTTTACGTGTCGTATGCCGACCCCCCCCCTCCCTGGATCATTTCAGAAAATGAATTCACATTCGGTCGGCATGATTGTGTATGAAGTGATTCAATCATAAATTAAATCAAATGTACCACTTTTTGCCAGATCTCGCCAGTTCAGGTGTCTACCCCACCCCCACTGGAATTGGAAAGTGTGTGTACGCCCGCCCGCGTGTGGTCTCCACTGTCTAGGCGTTTGGTTATATCAAGACGGTTGACCTGTTCTGATTTCAGTATGCCCGGGTAGGCAGTTATCTTTAGAGGTCAAATGGACAACACAACAATTTGTGCACGTGTGTTTATCTTCGCTCCTGGCTTGTGCACCGCCAAATTTCAGATTCATCACCCGTTTAAAATGGGGTGGGGACGAGTGTTGGGAATAAAAAAAATTGTCCACTACAACCGATAGTCCATATTTCATGTCCGTTAGGATCGCGTGACGTCGTGCGTAAATTTGACGTGTGGTAACACGACAGTGAGATATTTGTTACTTCACCTATTGAAAACATCTGGAACACCATTCTTCGGCGTCAGAAGCACGCAGGCTTGATGTTCGTGTGTGTGTGTGTGTGTGTACATGCAATGCTGTTGACAAGTGCAATTATGATCTCGACCCGGATGAATTTCGGACACCAAGTGTCCATTTTATGTGACCTGTTACCGTAAAACGGTTTGAGGTGTGTGTGACGCTGATGCACTTAAGTTGTTAATTTGTACTACTAGTAAGCAACCAGCACATGATCAAAGTGACCGTCGAGCTGTTATGATCATTATTGACCTTCGAATCCTTTAATTTGCATTTTTATGAACCACAGGTAAAATCATCGCACCTTTCAGCTAATGCAAATCAGCTTTGAAGTGTTCTGTTTGAGACAGAAACCCAGGTTCATCGTGGCCATTAGACACACCAGTGAATAAGTCTGTTCATGTGACTGGATCAATCATTGCCGGAGGGAGGGACTGAGAAAGTACCTGAAAGTATGGTCGCATAAAGCACAAATACAACGATCATGAAGTATCAGCATCAACGTCCACAAAGTCAAAGTATTGTATTGTATTGTATTGTATTATATTATATTATATTATAGGTGACTTGTGCAGGTGACTATGTCCACATTTCAGTCAAAAATGTGTTCACCGTTACAGTGGGATAA